CCTCCCCCCCCCCCCCCCCCCCCCCAAAAAAAAAAAACACACACACAATGTGCTAGCACTCTCTTGGTACGACTTTATAAATATCTTACCTTATTCAAAAAAAGAAAAAAAAAAAATACTTGCTCTCTCTCTCTCTACATGTTCCATATAATTTCAAATGTTTTGGTTCCTTCTTTTGATAATTCTCCCTGTAAGCAGCTAGTACATTCATGCATATCTGCTGATGGTAAAGGAAGAAATTCATATGCTCTTTTGGCAGAGATAGTTGTGCTTCTCAAGTAGAGGATCAGTAATTTCATATTGAAACTAAACTAGTCACTTTCTCAATGCTGTTTTTAGCAATGTTGACCTTGCTTCAACTGCTTTATAATTGATTATTTTGTTGTATTTTCGTTTTCTGTTTTCTCTGTGATGATTTAGGGAGTGGCAAGACATACACAATGCAACCATTGCCTCTTAGAGCAGCAGAAGATCTTGTTAGGTTGTTGCATCAGCCAATTTATCGTAATCAGAAGTTCAAGTTGTGGCTCAGCTTTTTTGAAATATATGGTGGAAAACTGTTTGATCTTCTTGGTGATCGGAGGTTGGTATCCTTATAATGCTTTGGAAATTTCTTTTTACCTTATTTAAGGGATATTGCACTCAAGTGATACTAGGTAATGTCATGCATGACACACGTTGAGTACTTGTGTAGCCTTGAACCTGGCATTGGGTCCCATAATTTGCACAACACCAATCGGAAACTTGCATAGCCTGGAACCTGGACCTGGTATTGGGTCCCATAAACTAGTCTATGATGTGAGGAGAGTAATGGTACTCCTATCAATAATTTCTCGCAAAAATAGAGGAACTTCAAAACCTAAAGGTAGACATTGAAAACTTGTAGTGTCCTAAATGGTTAGATGACTATGTCGCTAAGTCAATACAGTGGTTGGGACTTGGGAGCGTGTTGTCTTGGTTGTCCATTTAAAAGATGATTGAAATCATTGTAAAAACTGCTTATATTTTCACTCATGAATATGATGCTTCATCTATGCAACATAGTTTTTCTTCGCCAGTTTCTTACCTAGTCCATACTTTATGCAGGAAACTCTGTATGAGGGAAGATGGGCGGCAGCAGGTGTGTATTGTTGGACTCCAGGAATTTGAAGTTTCAGATGTGCAGATTGTTAAAGAGTATATTGAGAGGGGAAATGCTGCAAGAAGTACTGGATCAACTGGTGCAAATGAGGAATCATCAAGATCACATGCGATATTGCAGCTTGTTGTCAAGAAACCTAATGAGGTCAAGGAATCTAGAAGAAACAATGATGTTAATGAGTCCAAGGGTGGGAAAGTTGTTGGAAAGATTTCTTTTATTGACCTTGCTGGTAGCGAGAGAGGTGCAGACACAACTGATAATGACCGACAAACAAGGTAAGTTCTCATAGCACACTTCTTGCTGCACCTCGTTATGCTTCCCTCTTCTGAGATGGTTTCTTTTTTTCCCTTTGAATTTGTTTTCCTTAGATGTTGTGCATCTTTTTTAAAAGTCATTTCACTGAGCCATTTTTAACATAGATCCTCGGAGGGTTCTGGCTGGGAACAGCTTAGATATTTCTCGATCTTATTCTACAAGGACTAAAAGTACAAGGTCACGAAGATAGTTTGTATGTTAGATGTTATTGTTCTGAATTTTTTGCTCAAAGGTTGATCTTCCAAACACTTGGAAATAAAGAGCTTGGCATTGTCAAGTACCTTACTCTCTGCTGCTGGAAATCTTCGAGTTTCCACTTTGGCCAGTCTGAAACTGTAGTTTACATGAGTATTCAGCACTTAGAAGATTGTGTGCTTCTCAGAATTTACCTCCATATAATGCCTGCTTTTCTTTTGCTCTCCGTCCCTACCCCCTCCATTTCATACTTTATGGGCCTTGCTGCTAATTTGTTCAAGTAGCATATTTGAAATCTATATATTGATTTCCTTTTCAGGATTGAAGGAGCAGAAATTAATAAGAGTTTGTTAGCTCTTAAAGAGTGTATCCGCGCTCTCGACAATGACCAGAATCATATTCCATTCCGTGGGAGCAAACTTACTGAGGTGCTCCGTGACTCCTTTGTTGGCAACTCAAGAACCGTTATGATTTCCTGCATCTCTCCTAATGCAGGATCATGTGAACATACAATCAATACATTGAGATATGCTGACAGGGTGAAAAGTCTATCCAAAAGTGGAAACACAAAGAAAGATCAGAGTGCGAGTTTAATACCGTCTTCAGTGCCAACTTTGGCTGTTCCTGCTGGAGCAGGAGATGCTTATGAGCAACCTCAAGAATCTAAAGTATTGGACACAAGAAGAAAGGCTATGGAGAAAGAAAGCACATCTTACATTCCCTCTAGTGATTTTGATAAACAACCCTCTAGGTTTGGTTCAAGTCTTATCGCCAACAGCTGGGCCGAAAGTGGGGCAAATTCTGGTGGTATGGAGAGGGACAGGGTTGAGGTGAAGAATGCGTACAGCATTCCAGGTGGTCAGAAACTGCACTCGACAACCAATTTGCAAAGTTCAGCTGATGTAGTGGACAAGGTGCCGAAAGTGTCTCCACCTCGAAGGAAAGCATACAGGGATGAGAAATCTGAAAAGCCAGAACGGCCAGGAAATTGGTCAAGAAAAGATGTCGCAAGTGTTGATTCATCTTCTACAAGTTATAGACAACAATCTACAAGTACCCCCACAAAAAGTGTTGGATCAAGACAAAATGAAGTTTCTTCACCTCCTCGTGATGAAAATATCAATGAAATACTCGAGGTTAGTCTTTGTTATGCCTTTTGCTTTTCATTTTGTTATTTTTTTCTCTTTGAACTTGGTGTAGAACTTCTCCAACGATGTATTATTGTCCTCTTGCTGCATACAGGAAGAAGAGGCCCTTATAGCTGCCCATAGGAAAGAAATTGAAGATACAATGGAGATTGTTCGTGAAGTAAGCAAAATCCCAATGTTTTGTCCATTTTCTTGTGGTGATGATAGCTGCATGTCGTGAACTTGTTACTATGCCCTGAGTAACATATATTCTTTTGCTCTCAGGAAATGAAACTGCTGGCAGAAGTTGATCAACCTGGAAGTCGCATTGACAATTATGTGACACAGCTAAGCTTTGTGCTATCGCGCAAAGCAGCAAGTCTGGTCAGCCTTCAGGCTCGTCTTGCAAGATTCCAACATCGATTGAAAGAGCAGGAAATACTGAGTAGAAAGAGGGTACCGCGTTAGACATGAAATCTAGTTACTACATCAAATGTCCCCTTGTAATTCTTGCAGACAATGAATCAGGTGAAGAATCATTGTGCAGATTATTTTTTTACTAAATAGAAGAAAGAAAACAATGAATGGCTTCTCTCATGATTTTCTGTTATATATATATATATTCATCCTGTTTGAGCAACACTAAGATGATAATTTATTTTCTCCACATCCCATGAACCAATTTCTTATACAAAAAAATCGAGGTGTGGGGTTCATATCTAATGAGTCTATCATCTTCCCCACTGTCTTCCTTCAAATTTCCCTGTTGTTACCACTGATGAATCATAATCATATAAATTCTGGCCCAAAAGATCACTCTTTTCCAATTCATACAAAGCTAGCTTTTGAAAGCTATTTGAGAAAGAAAATTGGAAATAAACAGCCATGTATTGTACGGGGCCAAGTAAAACCGCAGCAGCAGGCGGAACATGAATTTATATGTAGAAATCCACAAATATTGCAACGAATAATAGACCCATAGAGAATAATTACAAAAGGAGAAAGAATCACGCATGTTTAAAACTCGAGAATTCATCCAAACAGGGTGAAATTTGAATGCTTTACGGGGATCGAAAAGACTAAAGAAGCAGTTCCAAATTCAAACTTACAAAATCAAATTTTTCTAGTTATATAATATACTGACAAAATCATACTATAAAGATCTTCACGAAATAGTTGGCTTCGCGCCGACCAACTATTGAACCACATAACTATTCCTTTGTTGAAACTGGATATACTGCATTGTTGCTTGGACTTTTCAAAAATGGCAACAGGTGTGTGTCGGATTCTCCAAAAGTAGTGTATTTTGGAGAATCCGACACGGGTGCAGTAGCATCAAAAGTGAAGAGTCAACGCTACTTAGCTCAAGATTGTTTAATCTGCTTTCAACCTCAAGAGCTCCTTGGCAGTCCTCATCCTAAAATATGGCATGTCTCCCTACAGATAAAAGGAAACAACACTTGAGACTTCACATTAGCATGATTTTTGCAGAAAAAAATTGAGTAATGAGTTAAGTTGAGAGTTTTCCAAGTATACAAATTGTCAAATGGTGCAAACAAACTACTTCACTCCTTTTCATTTTATATGAAGGTGTTTGACTAGGCATGAAATTTATTTTAAAAAAGAAAAACGACTTTTGGAACTAATCTTAAACACGTCATGGCATTTTTGCAGAAAAAACTTTTATTTTCCTGAACAGATTGCACTAAAAGATGAAAAATAGTCAAGAGTATCATGAGATTTCAAATGGTCCTATCTCAAGCTGGACTGGCACAGCAAAATTTATTTATGGCCTGGAGAAACATACAAGTATACAGAATCAATGTGTCATGGTACTCTTATTAATTGAAAGTTTCCTTTTACATTCTATCTTTCTCAAAACTCAATGTTTGTTTATCTTCTCATTCAGAGTTGGTATGTGTGATGTGTGTCGAGGGTAAAAAAGCATCAGATAATGATGCAGCAGATAGCTTACCTGATTAAAACAAAGTCCTATATCTCTGCTGTAGAAATCCGCATTTTTTATCATAAACACACCGCAGTCGTACCTGTTCACAACGAAAGTTCCCAATCTGATCAAATGATAACACATAAAAACCAACAGAAGATAGATCTGAAGTTAATCAATTTTCTTGCATAAAAGGAAATCTAGCAACAGACTCAAAGATATTTGGGGAATAATGGCTATAAAATCTGAGTTCAGAAGCATCAGAGTATCTCTAAAATCAGATTCACAAGGAAAGCACAAGAAACACAATACAATTTGCTGTAATAACAAGAATAACTCTTTTTTTCAAATAAGGAGAATACCTTCACATAGCAACACTAATCAGATAACAAACTTGGATATAACATATGACCTATTTATGTATCCGACTGCGGAATGTTGGAACATTTACAGAAAACATTTATGTATTCTAGCTTTAATTAAAGTAACTGTAATTCTATGTAGACTTAGCATACAAAAATAACATTTCATTCTTCTGAAAACAATTTGTGTAAGGCCAAGAAGTTTCTCTGCAAAGTAACCAACTATAAGCTGGAAATAAATTCATTTGGAATAAATAAAATAACAAAGCATGTCGCAGCGCCCAATGGCATTTAAGGAATTCTACACCAGTAGGATACAGCATTTCTCATCCACTGTCAATAAGGCTTCAAGGAATTATATCATGAATAGCAAAAAATTTCATACTTTTCGACTTCTATTTGTGATTTCTAGCAGAGCATGCAGTAATTAGAAGTTAAGAATTAAACTAAGTTCCACCCGAAATTATGTCGAATTAAATGGATTAGGATGACCATCTTTACTAATATGAGGCCGAACAATGCTATGCTTAAACAGGCCAAGATTTCCCACGATATCAGCAGAATGTCAACTACACGTGCCTTGTAGAGAGACACTCCATATAGCAACCAAGTGAAAGCCAATGTTGCAGCAGCGTTTAGCAGGTCAAAGCAAAGCGTCTTCCCGTATACTTAACAACTGACATATGGCAGGGGAAGTGCAAAACTAAGGTCAACCTATAGAAAATGCCTTCTTCTCGTACTAAGTAAAACTTAATAAGGAATAAGTTTCTATAAGAACTACTGCACAATTTCCAGTAAAACTTAATCAGCTGAAGAGGTTAACAGAAAATAGCAGTAATAAATATCAGAGTCGCAAATATGTTTGGGAGGAATCATTAGACCAAAGTGTCAACACACCCATTCTTTTGCTCTGGAAGGTCCTCAACAAACTCTTGCTTCCATGAACTAACATCAATGTGTTTCCCACTCTTGTCCTTCACCTCATCAACAAAGTAACTTGCCTGCACATGGATATCAACAAATTGTAACACCCATCAAGCTAGAGCAAAAAATCCAGAAACATGATCTTTCCTCAACACCCTTTTCCCAGTCACAAATAAAATTAAGAATAGACAAGGTAACATGTCTCAACAAGTTTTCCTTCGTACAGATACCAAACTTACCAGCACTTTCAGCACATTACTATCCCTTCCTCTGAGTGAATCAAGATATTGGAACTTCTGATCCTTTTTATTGATAACAGCTAAACACCAATGTATTTCTTTGTGGATAGGGACAAATATCTAAGTAAATTAGGAGAATCAAATTAGTACACAGCAGATAGCAAAACAAAGTAGGAACAGGAAAACAAATCAAAGAACTTTTACTTTATCGCATTCAAGGAGGGAGTAACCCAGCTTTCTTTGGGATGTCCATCTTCTCACAGATTGATAGTTATAGCCTCCCGTGCCACTTATCAACTGCAAATGCGGTAATATTTCCACGAAAATAGGCAGATTTTCAATTAAATTCTCACATATAGTTTCAGTAAGGTGATAATAATCAGTAATTGACATTGCAACCTTATAATGTGAACAAAATCAGATATTAAACGTGATAACAAGTTAACCACGAGAGAGAAACTAAACAGTGTCAATAACCATAGTTCATTCATGGAAGAGTAGAGTATGGACTAAGAAGCAGAAGCAGATCAGTATACGAATAAAATATTTTTTGAATATATCAGGTCTAGGGAAATAATTCGTAAAAAAAAAACTGCCAACTATGGTACTTATGGATCAGATAAGGACTCTGATAGAGAAGATAAATACTTCATTCTCTACTCTTGAAGTGCGAATTCAGTGGAAAGAGGGTGTGACATGTTTAGGCAAATATGCAGACTGAGATGGCATTTTATTGCAAGCACTAGTCATCACATTCCATACAGAATCTAAATCAACTGCAGAAATCAGGAAAGCATTGCAGACCATTTCCAACCATAGGCACTTGAAGAGTGGCACAGGAGTCGCTGTACTGTCTGTTATAAAGAAAGAAAAAATATCTATGGATAGTAACTTATATCTATGTATATACAAATACAATCTGATGTTTCCACACTTTAGACAAAAACATCTTCTATTCATATACATGACTTAAAAAACTTTTCTTTTATAATGAACCTATTTTTCTTAATATGAAGTAGACAACAGACATAAATCAACAGGCCACACAAGAAGGTCAGTTTGTAGAACTTAAATTTTGATCTGAAAGTCAACGAACTGACCTTCTTGTAAAAGAATGTGTTGAAGAAATGACATTTCAAGAACTTCTGGGGCTCCCTTTTCTCTCTTTCCTTTAACAGTTCAAGATACACATTGATAACCTGCAAAAAAGCAATCCATCCATGACATTAAAACTCTAATTTTTTCTTCTTTTCCATATTCAGCGTCACTAAATTTTAAACTATCCTAATAGAAAAATGAGCATAAAGTATCACCTCATCATTCAACCATGCCCCAGGTCTCAAACATTGCAATATTTCTCCAGTAATATCAATATTGGAGCTTTTATGGGTTACCAAAACCTTTCTCCTACACAGAATTAGACAGATACAACATATGAAGAGATTGCAAATTACACCTCGTACAAAATAAAATGTGTACAAATCATACCGATTGGATTTAGATAGAGCACAAGCAACCTCATCATGTTCCTCTTCAGTTAGAGGCACAAATGGTTCTGAAATCGCATCCTGCAAGTTAATAAACACCAAAATGAGGAAATTAAACTATGAACACACGTAAACCCACATCATAAAGCAGATTCTATCACGCTACCTCTATAACCTGTTCTTCTTTCTTTTGAGGCCGCAACAACCTATTCGTTTCGAGACTCTTCTCATTCAATCCTATCTGGAACTGTAATCTTTTCAACTTATCACTTATTTTATCCACTGAACCAAGAAGTTTCTTATACAAAGGGACATAGAAGTAGGAATCCGGCGTGGGGTTCATAGCTAATGATTCTATCATCTTTCCCACACTCTCTTCCTTCAAATTTCCATCATCCAAACCCGTTGTTAACACGGATGAATCCTTACCATCATAACCATCCAAAATCTTCATATCATCATCAACCTCCTGGCCCAAAAGATCACTTTTTTCACAACCCCATCTTTCTGATTCCTCGATACTCGAATCCTCCAAACCATTAGCAGCAGCAGCAGCAATATCTAAATCACTTTTTTTACAACCCCAAGCTTCCACTTCCTCAATACTCGAATCCTCAGAAACCCCCTCTTTAGCATCATCACCATCAATATCTATCACTTCAATATCTTTCCTCAAACCATCAAAATCACTTCTTTTAGTTTCTTCATGCTTTCTCGATAGACAATTACCCATTTCAGAACCTGAATATTCCGAAACACCCTTATAATTCACAGTGTTCGACTTCGTTTGCTTAGACCCAAATCTCAATTTCCTACAAGGAGCATGAACTTCTCTTCGAATTGGGTTTATCGGATCTGGGTACTTGAAAAACCTTTGTACAGTTGATTTACTTGATAATGGTGGATTTAGGGCTGAAAGTTTGAGCTTTTTGGACAAATTTGAAAGTGGGGTTTTGCAATTCGAAGAGAAGAAGTCATTACCTCGCTTCCTGTTGCTCGTTAACGCTCCCATTGAAGTAGAAATTCTTCAATTTGCTCAGAAATCATCAAAACACCGCTAATGTTGAGTTTGAACAAAAATGAAGTAAAATCTTCTGATTTGGGGGGAAAGGGCTTTTCTTCTTCTTCTTCTTCTATTTTGGCGGTTTTGATATATTTTTTATCTAATTTTTTTCCCCGTATTTATACGGAAGGATTATATCAAAGAACAGTATTAATAATTAACAATAAATTATGTGTATTTAAAAGTTTTGAATAGCATGTAATAGCGAGTATTTGTTCATAGAAATAAAAAATGGAGATATGTGATTTGCTAATATAGCGCCTTAGAATATTTTAGTATCTTATTTATGAATTGTGTTATGCTCATTTGGTAAGAAATACTTTGTCGGTCCACTTTTAATTGTCACGTTACGTTTTTCGAAAGTCAATTTAACTAATTTTCAAAGTTAAATTAGATTATATTAATTCGATATTTTAAACAAAGAATTTAAATATTCAAAAAGTATACGAAAAATACTATAAATTGCAATTTTTTACATATTAATATGATGAAAAAATACATCATAAAATGTTAGTCAAAGTTCTTATAATTTGACTCTAAAAAGGAAGTTATGACAATTTAAAAGTGAACGGAAGAAATAACATTTTGTGCATTGAGATATTGTGAAACTTGAAAGTAAAATGACGTAAATTTGAGTAAGATTATACACGTTTTACTTAAGGAAAGAAGTGAAGAATAAAGGAAATAAAATTTACAATAATAGTCTTAGTCTACGTGGAGATTATTTATTGGTTTGATAGTTTTTGATACTTATTAATAGTATATATATAGTGAAGTTAAGTGAAGTGAAATATATGATGTTTTTGTCCCACATCGGATAGTGAGTAGGAAAAATAGTGGTTTAGAAGTAAAAGCTAAAAGTTGAGAGTTCACTGTGGAGTTGTGGAGCTGAGAATTGGCTTGCACACGATTCCCGTCCCAACCATGAACCCGTCGCTTCTGTAATCAGAGGATTAATTTAAAGGGGGTGGTTTACCCGGTGTTTTTCCCCCAGTTGTGCCAAACAAAAGAAACACCGATGCCTACGCGTGTGTTAGTTCTCAGAGTTGAATTATCTCCCGGCAGGTTAGAAGGTAGGTGGCCATTGACATGAAAATGTTCGATGGTCACTTTGTTCCTCGCTTGCCAAGTACCCCCACTTTTTTTCTTTTTTTTTTCTTTTATGAACATGAATTAATTATATAGTTTTTCTATGTTGGTTTCAAAAGAAACGCCAATGCCTACGCGTGTGTCATCCCCACTTTTTGACTTTTTTTTTTCTTTTTTTCTGATGAACATGAATTAATCATATAGTATTCCTATGTTGGTTTTAAAAGAAACATCTATATCTACGCGTGTGTCACCCCCACTTTTTGACTTCTTTTTTTCTTGATGAACATTAATTAATCATATAGTATTTCTATGATGGTTTCAAAAGGAACACTGATGCCTACACGTGTGTCATCCCCACTTTTTGACTTTTTTTTCTTCTTTTTTTCTTATGAACATGAATTAATCATATAGTATTCCTATGTTGGTTTTAAAAGAAACACCGATATCTACGCATGTGTCACCCCCACTTTTTGACTTCTTTTTTTCTTGATGAACATGAATTAATCATATAGTATTTCTATGATGGTTTCATAAGGAACACTGATGCCTACACGTGTGTCACTTCTCAGAGTTGAATTATCTCCCGGCAGAACTGACATGGATTATGTAATTTAATATGGGAAAAATGGATTCATTTCACTTATATGGGCTGAAATTGTCACCCCGTTAGGCTAATTCATGAATTGAATCAAATTGGGCATTTTCATTGTCTAAATTGGAACTTAAGTAAACTAAAGAGGCACGCTCTTTAAACACCCTATAAGAAGAAGAAAGACGTTTAAGTCTTCACTTACAATCCGATAAAGGATGTTTTTGTTTTCCACGAATGTTCGATATATCAAAGAATAATTAGTTATTAATTACTAGTAAATTATGTGTATTTAAAAGTTTGGAATAACATGTAATCACATGGATTTGTTCATAAAATAAAACATGGAGATATGTGATGCATTAATACGGCGCCTTAGGATATTTCAATATCTTGTTTATGAACTATGTTATGCTCATTTGGTAAGAAGTATAGTAAGAGATGGGAAAGTTTTAATTTGTTTTCACAAATTGTGGAATTTTTATATTTATCAGAAAAAATATATTACATAATTAAGAATTTCAAATTACATGTCCAAAAAAATATAATATATATACCTTCTCAATGAAAATAAAGAGGTTGGAAAAACTAACCTTTGTGGATATCATCTCTCTACTTGGTATTTTTTTTTAGACCTTTAATTTTATTAACTACCTAGCAATGTCCACAAGTTATAGTTTAGATCCATAATTAACTCCACTAATTTGATTGCAGTATAAACATTTTATAGAACCAAACACAAATAAATTAAAGCTTTTGTATTGTTAAGCAATAAAAAGATAGAAGATTAAGAAAAAACACAAAAAAAAATGAGTGAAAAATCAGTGTTGATTTTCGCAATTGATGATAGTGATCATAGTTTCTATGCTCTTGAATGGACACTTGATCATTATTTTGGTTCTCCATCAACTTCTCAATTTAAGCTTGTAATTATTCATGCAAAAAGTAATGCATATGCTACTTGTTCGGTAGGAATGTCTGGACCAGGTATAAAATGAATTCAGAATTTAGAGTCAATATGTTAAAAACTAGGGTGATATTCTATATAAATATTGTTTTTGTGTATGTGTACATAATTTCAGTTGAAAACATGCATATTCGATGGAAATACAAAATCCTTTGTTGATTCGTCTTTATGTTAAATCAAGAGGTGACAAATAGACTATTGATGGATTAAAATGGGTTGGATGGGTCGAATGAAAATATAGAGTTCTTCCTTTTTTGCCTTTGTGTTGAACCTATATGTGTCAAATGAGTGTTAGTTAAAAATAGGTCGAGTCAAGATCGATTTGTTATATTATTTTGATCCGTTTGACCCCATTAGTAATTTAATAAAACAATTCAAATCCAATCGAATTTCGGCAAATTCTCTAAAAAAAAAAAGGGATCAAATGAAATCATTTTCAACGAGTTCATAAGAAGTGATCTTGTTTTACCTTGGATCCATTGAATCTAATCATACAACATAATATGTTAACGATTCATATAGCAAAGTCATGTGTTGTTTAGTTCCCTTATCACTATTGTTATTATTTTTATCATTCTACTATTTTATTCTTCGATTTTGTTATCACATGTTGTGTTTTCGCTTTGGTTACCCTATGATTTGTTATAGCTATTGTTCTCTTCTCCTTTTTTTTTTGAGCATGTATTTTCCTATCGATACTTGATTAGGATATTATTTACTTAAGCCAATGATCTATTAAAAACAGACTCTCAATCTTCACAGGATGGGAATAAAATTGCACGCAAACCACCCTAGCTCCCAAGACCCTCACTTATAAGACAACCCTGAATATGTTATTGTTGCCGATTCATATGACACATACAATAGATACTTGATAGATTATATTATTGATTAATGTTGTTGTGCAGGAAGAATTGATGTGCTTACACTCATAGAAACAGACATTAAAAGGGCAGTAGATAAAGTTATTGAAAAAGCAAAAGAATTATGCAAGAGTAAAGGTGTAACAAATGTATCATATGAAGTATATGAAGGTGATGCTAGGAATATTATTGTTGATGCTGTTGAAAAGCAACATGCCACCCTCTTGGTCATGGGCAGCCATGGTTATGGAGCTTTCAAAAGGTATATATACACCCAAAAACATGATCACAAAATAATAATAATAATAAGTATACGTCGATAGTATAAGATTTTTTACACTATCAATATATACGATTTAACCAAGTCTAGAAAGTTATTGTTCTATTTCTAGGTTACCATATCGGAACACTTGACATGAAGAGTTAATTACATGTTGTCAACTTAAAATGATAGTTATATATATTGGTGGTGTATAAAATTTATGCTGAAATTATTTAAAAATATCTAGGGGTGCGTATCGGATTCAAAGAAGTATATTTTTAAAGAATTCGACATGACAATACTTTTGTACTTCAAAAATTACCAACGAGTGCATTTTGGATGCTTTAAAAGTAGTATATTTTTAAAAAATCGACACGATAATACTTTTAGAGAGTCTAAACAATATAGCATTAGGACATAAACTCTATTTTTCTTCCTGAGAATATTGATTGAAAATTCATTTTCAACGTGTATAAAAAGAAACATGGTCACAAATATGATATTATTAGTTAGTAAATGATTCATTTTAGTTTATCTAGTTTAAGTTATTTACACCAACAAAATAAGAGTTTTCACAGTATCAATATAGTTTTAATCGATTATAACACATTATCATAAAGTTATTTATTATTGTAGGTAAATTTAATAATGTAAAAATTCTTTATATTGACAATGCGATGAACATAGTGTTTACTATAGTATTTATTTTTCTTGTAAAGCATTGATTGGGTGTTTTATTTTATTTTCTTTTAAAAAATGATGCAGGGCTGTATTGGGCAGTGTAAGTGATTATTGTTCCCACCATGCTAATTGTTCTGTGATGATTGTGAAGAATAATAAACCAAAGAAATAGACAACCTTAACCGCTTATTTGATCGAGGAATAAGTTATTTTGAAATTGATCATCTCAAAATTGTTATTTTATCCTTAGTGTGGGATAAAAATAATGTTACAATCTCAAAATAACTGATTTCGTGATTTTATTCCAATTAAATATGAAATAAACTCATCCTAAAATTAATTTTTAAATTAATTATCCCTTATCCCTCGTACCAAACAAGTCCTGAATGGTACTGTCTTGTTCAATTGTTAAGGAATTTAGATGATTTTTTCTGGTCTATATAGGATTGTATTGATTCTAGTGTTAGTACATTTAGTTTTTTTTTTTTTTTTTTCCTTTTCTTCCTTATAAGGAAAAATAATTAATCATAAGTTGTACTCTAATATTTATTTTAGATTCATTGTACTTGTGAATTGAATTACACTATATATGTAATACTAATGTTTTATTGAATATCACTTTGGTGCAAGATATTATAGAAATT